CTGCCCGAGCAGGGGGTTGGACTAGATGACCTCCAAGGTCCCTTCCAACTTTACTACTATTACTATTACTATATTCTTGCATCCCTTATAAAAGTTCGAAATAACAGCAATGAATTATGCATATACACTATAATTTTGAAAGCCCAAGTTCTTGCACCTCCTGGAATATCGTCTCGCACCACCAGGGGATGCGAACAGCCCTGGTGGCGAACCCCTGCTCTACATTATGCAATACTATATCTACCTCTCTCTTATCTCCCCTTAATAATGTTTTTCTTAGATTAAGAACTCCAGATATTATACTCTGTCCTCCTAATGGAGTTGTTATAGTTGCTTTTGATTTTTATTGTATTCAATGGCCAAGAGAGGCTGCAGTCGAAGTAGGTAAATGGTGCCTCTCTGAGATGCTGCTGAATCCAAACATGCAGTAGCCTCAGCCACTTTGACTAATGGTGAGGTATGATGGGAGCTATCATTGAGCATTGGGAAGTCATACTTACATCTCACTGCTACATTGAAAGAAGTACTTGCATAAAAATGTGGAAGAAACTTACCAGTTATTTCCTCTGGTAAGAGAATCCTGGGAAGTGTAGATCTGGTCAACAGGGGAAAAATATCTCTAATGGAGAAAGTTGATCTTCTTTGGCAAAGTATAGTTCCCAGGTTTTCCTATGAAAAAATGAGGCCCATAGTGCAGTCTGATCCCATATATCTTTTTCATATATGCTCAAACCTATATATTTTACTCCAAGTAAAGCATAGAAATTGCTACTCCTGAAGCAAATCATGCTGATGGCTGAAAAATCTATTTTGTCAGGAGGTGAGTTGGCAAAACTGCAACAGTTTTTTTAACATTTATATCTAATTTGTAATTTTTTAAATAAATCCTCCAAAGCTCCATTCAAACATGATCAGTAAAAATACAATAAATTGTATTTTAATGTAATAAATGCTACAGAGATAACAGTATAACTACTGTAACTTTATTACACCGCTGATAATTGTAAAATGTAAGAAATCACCTATTTCTCAAATAACTCTACCTATAGAACAAAAGTTTTAAACACAACCTTCCAGTTCTACTAAGGAAAAAATCAATTAAAAATTACCAGAAATGGAAACTTCTGGAACCTAGAATATAGAGTTTTTCCTTCTGTTTTGCCAACATCTGATGGTGGTTTGGATTTTTGCAGACTCAGAGATAGTATTAGAGAGGTACCCCAGAAGATAAGGGATTTTTAGGAACATGCAAGTGGTTGGCTTACAAAGGCTTTTGACAGTTAAGGACATGGCTTTACTTCCACAATAACAAGCAATGACTCCAGAAGTTTCCTGAGCCAAACAGGATAGCACTAATTAAGTTGATTGTATGCGTTATGTGGCAAGAGGTAGTAGGTAAGAAACTTTTTCTTGGCAGACAGGATAATGCTATGCTTAAAGTGTTGGTGGAAGACCAGGTGACCCAAGTTTAAATCTACCCTTAGCCATGGATCAGCAATTCTTTTTCAGCCTTACCTCCTTCACAGAATTGATTGGTAGGAATAATTTGGAGGAAGGAATGCTAAATCTGCTTCTTCAAGTTCCTGGAGGAATGATGGGATAGTAATCTAACAATTGAGTACCTAAATAAAGTTATGTCATTTGCCATATAGTCCTGTTCCCTTTTCAAATGGCACAAGAAACAAGAGTGATTTTGCTGTTTTGACTGTAATGAATCCCTCTGGCTCAAATTGTGTGTGGATTTACCACCTGCATCAGGGTGGACTAGTGGTGGATCTGTGCAGTTCCCTTTGGGCCACCCATCTCTTACCATGCATAACTGTAACAGCAGAGGTGTTTTAAGTTTTGAAATACTCATTATGTAGTGCTACTTAAACAAACCCTCCTTTGAAATGCATTTTTATGCCAGCTTCCTGGAATATGTATTGGGCAGGGTATCAATTATATAAATACATTAATAAAGAATTTCTCATGGAGGGGAGAAATATATACTTCCTTGCATCCTGAATGATTTTGATGAAGCAACTCATGTGGCAGTTATCTGCTACTTAGCACTGTAGGCTCTGAATTGCTGCTGGGTTCATAATAAATAAGCCCAATGTTTAGAAGACTGAAATGCAAAAGAGCTTTGTGCACACCAATTAGTTTTTCCAGTGGAGGATAGCAAAAAAAAAAATAAAAAAAAAATGAAGTCACTGATGGAGGGAGCTGTTCCATCAAAACTACCAAGAGTTACAATGCCTATGACAGTGGTGGACAACCTATGGCACAGGTGCCAGAGGCGGCACTCAGAGCCCTCTCTGTGGGCATGCGCGCCGTCGCCCCAGTCCTAAGCCTTCAGCTGGGTTTTATAAAACATTTTCACTTTAGGCCTCTGCCGCCGTGTGCAAAAAAAAAAAAAAAAGGTTCAATCAGTCAATTTCAACTTCTCGTGGGAAAAAAAACGATCTTGCAAAGTTGGAATTGATGGATTGAACTTTTTAGTCCCACCCAGTTTGTCATTACCACTGCAGCCAATGGGCCATGCCCACCCAATTGGCCACACACAGTCAATGGGCCACACCCACCCGGCACTTGACGATGCATAAGTGGGTTTTGGGTTGCAGTTTGGGCACTCAGTCTCTAAAAGGTTCGCCATCACTGGCCTAAGATAAGTATTTTCAGGCTGTTGTACAGATAGACTGCTGAAGCTTTTCAGAAGCTGTCCCATGGTGGGTTTTTTTTACATTTCCAAAATTCTCTGAGGCAGAACTGGTAAAATTTTATCTTTATTCTAGAGTTTGGCTAGATTCTTATATTGAGCTTCATATATGAAGTTTATTTGGTTTTGCTTAGGAGTAGTTTGTAAATCATAGGCTGTCGAACATTTTTGGTTAAGCAGTACACTTGGCCTTTGACATGCCAAGGGCTGCACTCCAATAAGTTTATTGAGTCAGGACAAAGAAGAAGGTGGAATCAAGTAAAACAATAAATTTGATAGAATTTATTTAGCTTGATTATTTTCCATATTGGGTAATTTCCCTGTTCTGCCACAGTTGGAATTTTAATTTAGTACCAGTTTTTGAAGGAGCTCTGGGGGCTGCAGCCAAGGCTTTTGAAGATCAAACCATTGAGTTATGAGTTAGTACAATCTGTAACTGAGCTAATTATGAATTAATTAGAAAAGTGTGCTTAAAACCAATCTGATTAAGCGTGGTTCATAAATCTGATCTAAGTCAGTCTCTGAATGGGCATGCTGATATGCTTTTTTTCTGATCAGCATAAAATAACTTTTGTCTTTTTGTAATAGCTAAGAGAAAGAGAAAGCTATTAGGAACCTTTGGATCCATGGGTTTTATATCACCAAGTGAGTTTCCTTCAATCTTGAGGAAAAGAACTTTTAAATACAAGTTTAAGGACTTTAAAAAAATTTTTTGGGGAGGGAATAAACAGCAGAAGACTGATTAAAACTTTTAGAAAGTTACAAATGGACTAAGTGTCCAGATAAATTTGAAATAAGATTTTGGAATTAACTATAAAGAATCCTTTCCATTGAATTTTTGTTTTGTTTTGAATTCTTTGTAAAAACATAAGACTTTAAAAATTGGACCCTAGAAGGAACTAAATATTACAGTTAAAGAAGAATACTGAAACATGACTTATAAATATAGAATGAAGGAAAACAAATTAATATTAGACATATTCAAGGATATTTTTGAACAAATTAATTTTAATAGTACCCCTACTTCTATACAGTAGATAGTGTTTAAAAGAAGTTATGGAAGAGGAACACATTTTGAGACTGATCTGAAAGTAGATTTAAAGATAACAAACTATAGGAATGACATAGAAAAATATGTTACACAAGACATACAAAAGAAACCAATTAATGTCTTAATACTAAAAGAGATATTCAAACAACAAATCAAGAGAGGGATGTGGTTAATCTTCCTATACTGAATTTGCAAAAGAGGCTTGTTAAAGCTTTGAAGAAGTTTGTGAGAAGGCACAAAGAAAATAAAATTCTAGAACATTATTTGTAGGGACTAAAAATCAAAGGTGTTAAAAGTAGAAATAATTCCATCAGACAGGCATCTGCCAAATGACACCCCAGGCTTAACAGTTGTGAATAAGAAAGGCAAATAAATTTTGATAGTGGATGTGGCAGTACCTGGAGACAGAAGAAGAGAAGAGAAGAGAAGAGAAGAGAAGAGAAGAGAAGAGAAGAGAAGAGAAGAGAAAGAACTAGAGAAGATACAAAGGCCTACAAATAGAAATAGAACAAGTGTGGCAAAAGAAAGCAAAGGTAGCACTAACAGTACTATTTTGAATGCAGTCCCAAAACAACATCCCTGAACACCATTGGCATTGACCATTCACCACCAGTCAATTGCAAAAGGCGCCTTTACTCAGAACAGCTGACATCCTGAGGTGATACCTTTAATACCATCAAACAGCAACACCTGCCTGTTCCAGGTCCTTGGGAAGGACTGGATAGGTGAATAAAAATACCATATCCAGTCAATATGTGGCTAACTATGTGTGATTAACCATACTTTGCAATAAAAAATGGAGAGGAAGTGAGCAAGATAGGAGGGGAGGAGAGATACTGTAGGGTCTTGTCTTAATCCATTAATCACCTCAGAGCCAATGCACGGCCATTGACACCCTACAGCAGTGGTTCTCAACCATTTTAATGCTGCAACCCCCAACTGGTCGTAAGTTGAGGACTACTCAACCGGTCGTAAGTTGAGAACTACTCAACTGGTGCAGCACCATTTGCAGAATGGGACTTTTGGCGGGCTCAGCAGGGCAGAGACAGCCTGGACAATTCCTATTGGCTTTTGAAAGCCAATAGAATTAGACTCTATTCAAGAGAGTCTATTCTATTGGCTTTCAAAAGCCAATAGAATAAAAGGGAGTAGCACAGCTAAGGAAAAGGGGAAAAAAATGGCGGACTGCGTTGTTTGGCAACCCCCGTGAAATGGTCGTTCGACCCCAAATGGGGTCCCGACCCACAGGTTGAGAACCACTGCCCTACAGTAATTGCTAGCTTATTTCTCTTTAGTTTCTTTAAATCTGAATTGGCTTCAAAGCTGTTCATTTGTATGAACTTAAAACTGTCAAGCCCCGACGGCTTGCCATAAGGACAGGGACAGGGGGAGCACGAACGTCAACTCACCGGGGCGAGAAACAGCTGAGCCGTGCACCGCCACGCCCCACCGCCGCACCGGGCGAACTCCCTCTGGGCGGACGTCTCCACGAGAAGCACGACAGACGCCAACGCCACCTGATGGAACAGCGGGAGCTCCTAAGAGCCACTTGCGGGCTAATGGGAATGTACCTCGGCGGGAGAGCGGGGGGTTGTCTCCTAGCCACCAGGATATCCGGCAGGGCGAGATTGGCGGCGGGCAACAGGGGCGCAGGTCGGACGCACGGACAGCGGGGCGTGGGGGCGGAGCTTCGTCGGGCAAAGGGACAGCACAGGGAACGGGCGTAGCATTTATCCATCTCGAACGGATGCTGGTTTGGGATGGGGGGCGGAGCTGCAGGGTGGAGCACGCCGATATATTGCGGTGGAGGGAAATCGGCCCCAGTGCTGACTTTGTCTCACATGCTTAATAAAGAGCTTGGTGGATGTCAGCGTGTGCCGGTCTTCTTTGCCTTGCGCTGCGGACGACTTTGGATACGTTGGACATAAAGTCAGCACTCATCTCCAACCCTCCAGTCTACGGTTCCCGTGTACGGCTACGGTATGGCGGAGGGGACTCAGGGGGCCGCCCTGGTCGAGGGGGAGGTGGCGGCCGGCGGGGTTGTGGATGCTATCCCGGCGGCGGAGCCGGTAGTGGCCCAGCCGGTAGTACGGCCGAAACTGTTACAGTCTGCAATATCGGAGCTCGATGTGGGGGAGACAGGAGCCGCTAAGCCACAGGAGGAGTGGTGGCACAGCCCGGCGGTGACTGGACTACAGCCCGAGCAGCTCCTAACACCAAAGCCGAAGCTCGGGCATTCGGGGTGGAGGGAGAGACGCGCCACGATGGAGGACGATGAAGACTGGAGCTACTCCACGGCTCCGGGCCAGGAAACCATGGATATCTTGCGCCATCGGTTTGGTGAAGCAAGTTACAAGGGCGCCGCCGATATGTGGCAATCGGAAGGGGAGGCTACGGGTCGCACCCCCTCGTCTAGGTTCCGCCTGAGCAGTCCGCGGCTGCGGTTGCCTAATCCCGCAGGTGGGCCGGCCGTTATGGGACTCCCTTCGAGCGGGCTGCCGGGTCAGCCACGCCCAGCCCAGCCGGGCGGGGCCAGGAACGTGGCAGGAGGCCTGACTGCAACAGGGGGGAGGGAACGGCAGAGCTTCGCGGCCGGACATCCAAACGTGGTACCAGGCCAGCCCCAGGGGCCGTGGGGGCCAGGATATCTATGGGGGGTTCCCCCTATTCCGGTTACCTTTGATGGTAACCCCGATCAATTGGCGATGTTCCTGGGACAGGCCATAAGCCACCTGGACCAGTTTGCACAGCTATATGTCTCCCAATGGGCTATGGTCGGCGCCATTACTGCCGCCTTGCGCGGGGAGGCGGCCGCGTGGGCGGCCGACTTATACAGTGACCATGCCCGGGAGTTGGGGAGTGCGGGGCTGTTTTTGGACGCTCTACATGGGCGGTTTGATGACCCCACTCGGGCACAGAGGGCCGAGGCAGACCTGCTGGCACTCCAACAGGGGAAACGCCCGGCCGTTGAGTACGTGCGAGAGTTTCGGAAATTAGCCGGCCGGTTGCAGTCTTCTTGGCCGGAGCGGATGTTGGTACACCAATTCAGAGCAGGCCTAGACCACGACCTACGGCAAGCCTGCGTATATCGGGGTGTGCCCAACAGACTGAGAGACTGGTTCAGGGTAGTGATCGAACTTGAAGCGGGCCTGAAAGAGGTATATCGAGGGTACGGGGATGTTTCGCGGCTGCGGCGTCCCGGGGATAGGCCTCGCGAGGGCAGCCAGGACCAACAGCGGCCAACACCAAAGCCACCAGGACCGTCAGGAGCAGCCGGTTTCCGATGCTTTCGTTGTGACCAGCCGGGTCACCGCGCAGCCGACTGTCCAGCACCCAGCCCCCGTAAGGCCGCAGCAGTTGGTAGAGCCACACCACTGAAGAAGGCCACGGAGAGTTCAAGGGCGGTTGGCCAGCAGCCGACTCCAGGGGTGAAGCCAGGATCCCCGACTACGCCAATGCCCATAGCCGGGGTACGCTACCAGCCGGGGGACGAGGAGGACAGCCCTGACGAGGGAATGATGTTCGTTCGTTCGCTAGGGTCCTCACAGGCGTTGAGTTCAGCATATCACCCGAGCACCAACGGGGCGGCGGAAAGGGCAAACGCTATGGTGGAAAGGTACCTCCGAAGTTATGTGTCATTCCAGCAAACGGATTGGGTGGATTTATTGCCGTTTGCTGAAGTGGCATATAATAATACCGTCCACAGCAGTACGGGGTATACCCCGTTTAAAATAGTGTATGGTATGGAGTTTAACCCCATGCCCGAATTGTCACCAGAGATGGCCAGCGGCCAGACCCCTCAAACATGGCAGTCCAAAATTTCAGGGTTGTGGGACCGGGTGCGGGTAGCCCGAAGGAAGGCCGAAGCTGCTGCCAAAGTCCAAGCCGACAAAAAGCCGGCTCGCACCTTGCCCGGATCCATTTCCACCCCGCTCCCCGAGATGCGGTAGCCCAGGTAATCTAGTCGTTCCCGGTGAAATTCGCACTTCGATAATTTCACATAAAGCTGGGCCTCCAGCAACTTCTGCAAGACTTGCCGTACTAGGCTGACATGCTGGAAAGGGGATAGGATATACGTGCCCAATATTGGTAAAACCCAATACCTCCTTCGGTGGAAGGGCTACCCGTTATCAGATGCGACCTGGGTGGGAGAGGGGGACATAAAGGCACCCAACCTGATTCGGACGTTCCATCGGAAGCACCCGGATAAGCCGGGGCGGAACAAGTGTAACGTTGTGTACTCAACCCCTTTCCTTTCCTCCCCAGGGGGACGCGTGGTAGAGGGGGCCGCATGTCAAGCCCCGACGGCTTGCCATAAGGACAGGGACAGGGGGAGCACGAACGTCAACTCACCGGGGCGAGAAACAGCTGAGCCGTGCACCGCCACGCCCCACCGCCGCACCGGGCGAACTCCCTCTGGGCGGACGTCTCCACGAGAAGCACGACAGACGCCAACGCCACCTGATGGAACAGCGGGAGCTCCTAAGAGCCACTTGCGGGCTAATGGGAATGTACCTCGGCGGGAGAGCGGGGGGTTGTCTCCTAGCCACCAGGATATCCGGCAGGGCGAGATTGGCGGCGGGCAACAGGGGCGCAGGTTGGACGCACGGACAGCGGGGCGTGGGGGCGGAGCTTCGTCGGGCAAAGGGACAGCACAGGGAACGGGCGTGGCATTTATCCATCTCGAACGGATGCTGGTTTGGGATGGGGGGCGGAGCTGCAGGGTGGAGCACGCCGATATATTGCGGTGGAGGGAAATCGGCCCCAGTGCTGACTTTGTCTCACATGCTTAATAAAGAGCTTGGTGGATGTCAGCGTGTGCCGGTCTTCTTTGCCTTGCGCTGCGGACGACTTTGGATACATTGGACAAAAACTTTTAATAAATTGATGCTCATTCAGCCTAATCTGATTGCTAGGACACTAGCCTAAATATATTATGTAAATAAAAATAATTTAAATGTCCTTTAACTAATGGTTTGTGAGTAAAAGAACTGAGATAATACAGAAAAGAGGATTGTCTCTAATGTGATGCTCCAGTTGGAATAAAATAGAAAAGTAGCCAAAATAGAAAGTTAGACTGCATTAAAAATATACCAAAAATATTCTGGTATATTTTTAATGTAGTCTAAGAAATAAAGTATACTAGAAGTTTGAGGTGATAATTTTTATAAGTTGTTAGTTCAAGTAAATCTACTTAGTTTCAGAGTTTCCCAACCTCAGGAACTTTAAGATATGTGTGCTTCAAGTCCCAGAACCCCCAAACTAGCATGAGAAACCCTGCGGTAGAGCAACTGGTAGTGGCTTAAATGCAGTTATTCTATTTATAAAGAGCCACTGAAACAGTTGCTATTTTAAAGTTCTAAGTTCTTTTTAGAATAATTTTTAATCATCCTACATTAAGATAAAAAGCACTAGCAAAGAAGTATAGCATAATTATATATCTAAGGTTTGAAATGTGGAGACTAATCAAACCCTATTGCATCATAAGCTAAAATACTATACTAAATTGTATATTTGATAATAAAACTTCACAGGTGTGAAGAGCGACACACGGGGATAACAAGAAAAGACAACAGTGTGTGCTATTTAAAGCACAAGGAGATATTATGCTGTATGTATAATGCATTGTTGGCCAATGTCTATCTACTCTTGCTCTGAGGCAGAATTTCTTCCAAGCAAATCTAATCTCATTTTTACCTTATAAAATATGTAGTACAATTTGAAGATGTGCTACTTTCAGTACCATTCTTTGTTGCATCCGGTTATGTCCAGATTTTACAAGTTACCTTGTGAGTGTCTTGATGTAGATTCTGATTGGAACTTGTAGATTTAAGGCATTTCCCAACCTGATTATATGCTATCAAGTTGGTTTGACGCCTAATGACCACATAGATAAATCTCTTCCAGGATGATATGTTCCCAAACTGACCATTTTCATCTTTCAACAGCGGACCTCTTGCCACTTTATTCAAGTCATCCTCTAAGCCTAAGCCTAACCTAACCAAGTCAATTGCAATTGGGCAATGTCTAAATCAGGAGTCCACAAACTCTTCAGTTCATTGCCTCCTTCATGAAGTTTCAGATTGCTCATCAACACTCAAACATTTATTATATAAAATAATTTAATAATTACTACTTTAATAGTACTACAAATAATAACTGCTACTTAAGGCTAGTCCATGGTAACACTGACTTGTCCATGGTAACACTGACTTGCCACTAGTCAGCTCACTTTCAGGGCTTGGGAGTGGTGTGAAGCACATAGAGACTGCAAAAGACTAACTGACCCCAATCTGGCTTCTATCAGTTATCAATACCAATTAATCCCAGCCATTTCTGACTTCTTGGATAGTCTTATCAACTCTTAGGGGTTGATGTTGACCATTTTAGGAAACCATGGTCTAAATCAAAAAAGTTTAAATTAAATAAATAAACACTTTGGAAGGTAGATTCAAGATTCAGATCTTCCTGCCAAAAAGATAACCAAGGGATAATGTGAAGACTGTTTTGAATATCATTGAATATTTACAACACTACAATAAGAAACAGGTAGCTTTACTATTCCTAGATGCAGAGAAGGCCTTTGACAATTTAAAGTGGAGTTTTATGTTTAAAGTCCTGGAAGAAATGGGCTTTGGAGAGAACTTCATTCAAGGAGTTAAAGCTATTTACATGTCACAACAAGCAAAAATTATTATTAATGATGATTTAACTATTTATTTATTTATTTAATTTTATTTATATGCCGCCCAATCCCAAAGGACTCAGGGCGGCGTACAAAATTAAAACAATCATCTAACAATAAAACTAACTAATCCATGTGAAATTCAAAGGGTATGAGACAAGGATGTCTCTTGTCTCCTTTGTTGTTTATTTTGGTGTTGGAAGTTTTGAATAGAGATATTAGGCAAGTTGAGAGAATAATGGGCAATAAGCATCAAGAAAGAAGTTTATAAATTGAGGGCATTTGTTGATGATTTGGTTATATTCCTGCAGGACACAAAAAATAAGATAGAATATACGATGAGGAAATTAAATGAGTTTGGGCTCTAGCAGGTTTTAAAATAAACAAACAGAAAATAGCAATGTTGATTAAGAATATATCCTCTCAGGATTGTGATATATTGAGTAAAAAGTTTGGTTTTAAAGTTGAGACAAAGTGAAATAGCTGAGGGCATCTCCCTTAGGACTTTAATCTTCATTGGATTTGGATTTTGCTAGCATGTGAAATTAAGGATGATATATAGTAGTTTATATAATCTGTTAAATCTCCTTTTATTTTTGGTATTGAATGTGAAGTGACCTTAAATTTGTTGGCTATTGTATCATTCTCCAAATCTGTTGGCATAGTTTGTCTAGAACCTTGCTGTGTTGCTTGCCATATTTCTATTGATATTGGCATCTCTATTATACAGAATTTCAGTATACGCTTTCCATCTTTGTTTGATCTTCTTTGAATTGGTTACTATCTATCCATTAGTGAATTTTAGCATTGCAATTTGGAACCTCCTTTTGACTTTCAAGATCTTTTAAAAGTCTTTTCTTTTTTTGAGATCTTACAGGTATTAGTGTAATACTGTTTCTTGTTTTTCTGATAGCTCTCTGAAATTCTTTGTTGTTCCTTCCTGAGATTTTCTGTTTCTTGTTGGCTTCTCTTCTTTTCTTGGCAGTTTCCACCATTTATTCTGACAGCCTGTTTGCCTTCTTCTGTTACTTGGCTTTTTGGCAGTCTTTTTTCATATTCATCCTTAACAGATTCTTTGACTCCATTTCCCCGTTCTCCTAGTTTCCTATCCATGAAGTTCAAGACTTCAAAGCAGTTCCTAATAGTCTCCTTGAAAATGGTGGTTATTTGCTCAAAATTGCTCAACAAAATTGGTTGATTTTCTTCTTCCTATTTAGAGTAACTTGAAACTTGCATTGGAATAATTTGTAGTCCATTCTACTCCCTGCTACATCTTTGCTGTTGGCTCTTCAATATCCTAATAACAATAACATAGTACATTTGATTTCTGTATACTGTATTTGGTCTGGTGACATCTATGTTTATAAATTTTGATTGTCTCAAGAATTTTGCTTGTCTCAAGACTTGGTGACGAGGAAGTCATTGGAGTGGCAGAAACTGATAAATTACTATCCTGCTTTATTTCAGTTTCCTGAGCCATGAAGTCCAATAGTATTTTCCTCCATGCCATTTTCAATATAGGCATTCCATTCTCAAACATAAGCAGCATATCTTGCTTGAATGCTCTGTTGATTTCAGATTGAATTTGGCCGTAACACTCATCAACCTTCTCTTGTTTTGCATCAGTGGTTGGAGCATGAACTTGCACAACTGGCATTTTAAAGGATTGTCTATGAAGTTTAATTGATGTTAGACTGAATTGCACCCAGGCATTCTGTTTGCTATGGCTTTCATGTCAATGAATGCAATACTGTTCTCTCTTTTTGTGTCGATTTGCCTATATCTTGTATAGTAAATTGTATGAGCTGCTGAATAAAAGTGTCCAATGCCAGTTCATTTTAATTCTCTGATGCCTAGGAAATCAATTTATACTTGACTTATTTCACCTTTCATTTGATGAGTTTTCCCATATGCATATTCTTACATTTCATATTCCCAGTGCAATTCTTTTTTTGCAGCTTTGGGTGTTCTTTTCCTACACAGCAGCACCAGCAGCTAGACATCCCAAAGGTTTTATCCTAGCTGCAACCTAAATTATATTAGTATTCTAAAATATCCTCAGCTCTCAGTAACAGTTGAGTGTCATTTGACTTAAGAGGCCATTATACAGCATTATGTTGTCAATTAGCCTTATCTTGTCCATCCATGTGTTTTGTTTTGTTTTTTGTAAAATGCAGGAAATGTTTGCAGTATGAAATGATGACTTTGCTGTTGTCATCAAAGTGACCCTAAACCTCCAGTATCTTCCTGTATTGTTGCTTTAGCTGAGAGTTGGGATGATCTTCATTCCTTTGGTGATCTGCTGGGAGCACATAGACTTGGCATAGACCCACAGTGCTCTTTGCTCATCTCTCCAAGGCATATTGCAGGCGATAAGTAAGCCTAATAACTAGGAATCAAAGAGCCTAGATTTTAACACATTTGGAGAACACCAAGTGGAAGAATACAGATCCACAGCAAAATCTGTGAATGAGGACCACTTTCCCTTTTTTCTTCTTAATTTGTGAGGATAGTTGACATGGCTACATCAGCTTACATCTATGTTTTCAACTTTGAAACAGTCATTGCCTTACCATGGATTGTATACTTCTGTTTATCTTGCAGTGTTCTTTGTATGAACTGCAAGGTTCAGCACAATTCTTGCCGTTTGCATCTGTGTGAATCCCCAAACACACTTAAATTTTGTAAGAATAAGAACATCAAAAAACTATATGCAGGTTTGGTGAGCTCTTGTGAGATTTTAGTATTTTACTGTCATAAAAACTGTGTTCTTATCTTACATGATTTAATGGTCTTGTGCAATTTTGGAAATTTTTAGATTATATTTGGAGAGGGTGGTAAACAGGTTTTTTGGGGGATTCAGCAGGTGGTTAGTGTCCAACATTTTAATAAATGAAAAAAATAACATTTGGAGAGATTGGATCTTTCCTATTTTTCTGATTTGAAAGAATTCTCAGAATTCTCAGTTCTCTACTTAAACTTCAACATACTACTATGACCTTTGCCTATTTGGCATTTGCAACTGTGAAAGAGGCAGTAGCAAACCACTTCTGAAAAACTTTGCCAACAAAACTGTAGCGATTTGTCTCTAAGGATCGGACTCAACTGAACAGAAGAAGAAAAATAAAAATAAAATACATTTAAAATTTTATAACTTGGGGAGGGGAGAGACAATCTCCCTCTCTTATTCTATTCTAATCTAACCTTGACTAACCTTCCTCTTTCAAAGCTTTAGTAAAGGCAATGATGCCAATTGGCAGAGGAAAAGGAAT